CCGCCGCCTCCCGGCGCGCCAGGTCCCCCGGCGGGGCCGCCCGGCTGGCTCGCGCCCGCTCTCGCTCTTTTCAGAAGGACTCCGAATTTTTAATGAACTTGACTGGCAGCAGGGCTCCGAACAAGCGGCTCAGCGGCAGCTCCGCCGGGGGTGGCGGGAGACTCGACGCCCCTCAGCCGCGGACCCGCCGCGCTGCGGAGCATGCGCCGGGCTCGGTCTGCGCATGCTCCGCGCCGGCCCGGCCCCCGCCCGCTCCTCCCCTGTTCTGGCCGGTCGCGGAGGGCGGCAGCTCTGCGTTCCCCGCGCCTCCTGGCGGGAACCCGGGCGTGCAGTGGGGACACCGGGGGCGGGCAGGAGCTCCTGCTCCGTGGACTCGAGCAAAGAGAAATTGACCGAAGAAGGTCCGCCTAAGTTTCGCCTACACAGTGATCAGACTTCAGAGTGCTGGAAGGACGTGCCCCGCCTTGGGCACACACCTTATTTTCTGGACTGGATGGCATCCAGGCGGCGGGGTGAGCAAAGATGTCGAGCAAAGTCGAAAACGCACTCCCAGTCCGCACGTTGTGGCTGGACCGTGAGAAGCCTGAGATGGTTAATCATTCAGAGAACCAAACCAAAAACGAAAAGGTCCCCCCGAAAGCAGTCTAAAGTTTGCTTCAGCGGTTTTTGTGTTTCAAAATAGAATAGAATAGGAGGGAAAAATGGAAAATACCCAAGTGTTGGCGAGGATGTGGAGTAACTGAATTCTTCTGCCCTGCTGCTGGAATGTAAACTGGAACAACTGTCTACTGAAGGAACATACCCTATGCCCCGACAGTTCCCCGTCTACGGATACAGCCGAGAAACGCGTCCTTACAGGGCACCCCCAGACAGGTGTCAGAATGCTCGCAGCGGCATCTGTTGTAACAGCCCCCAAGAGTGGAAATAACCCAAAGACCATCAACAGTAGAATAAATTAACAAATTCACAGTGTTTATATAATGGAATACTACATAGCAATGAGAAGAGCAATCTGCAACTACAGGCAACAACGTAGATGAACTGTAGAAACGTAAAATTGGGTATAAAAAAGACACAAAAGTACATACGGAGTAAGTCCGCCTTTACAAAGCACAAAAACAGGAAAAGTAGTCTGCTCAAGTTAGGATAATGGTTACTTGGTGAGGAGGGGATCGTGACTGGGCGAGGGGCTTCCAGGGTGCTAGTGCTTTGTTGATCTTGGTGCTGGTTACACGTGTGTGTCTATTTGTGAAAAATCACCAAACTGTATTCTTATGCACATTTTTCTGTGTGTGGATTGTAGTTCACATGCAGTAATTTTTTATTTTAAATTTAAAAATTTAGAAATTGTTTTACTTGTATTAGCTATATAGTTTTGTAAATGTAAACATAGTGATTATTCACGAGAAATTTAATGTCAAGTAGTCAACGGATTTTATCTCTAGGATTTGGTTGGTAGTGTCTCTTGACTTAAACTTGAGTAAAGTACTGACCCACTTTAAAAGAAAGGAAAAAAAAAAACAATTAAGAAATGAGCAAACCACTCCAATAGATGTTTCTCCAAAGAAGATATATGAATGGCAAATAAGTACATGAAAAGCGATATCACCAATCGTTAGGGAAATGCAAGTCAAAAGCACAATGAGATACCACTTCACATCCATTAGGATGGCTGTTATAAAACAGAGAAACAACAGAGAATAACAATGTTGCTGAGGATGTTGAGAAATTGTAACCCTTGGCACTGTAGTGCCTTCTGCGAGAGGACTAGCCACTGGGGAACACGCTGGAGAGACGACCTTGGAACCCGTCTGTATGGCTGCACATAGGTGTTCCCAATTAGCTAAGGCTACTTCAGACTGCTCCCACTTTTCCATGTCTCCCCTTTCCTTCCCTGAATTAGATACTGGATCACAAACTTGATGGTTTTTGAGGTACTCTTATTTTCCAAAAACCAAACCAAAATAAATGATGTGCCTGAAGACGTGATTCTCTGAAACTGCTTTGGCATGTCCACTGGGCATGCTCCTCCTTTTTAGTATTTTTATTTTTAATTGTGGTTTAAAAAAGACATAACATAAAAGTTACCGTCTTAACCATTTTAAGTGTACAGTTCAGTACTGTTAACTATATTTACACTATTTATGTGGCTCCTCCTTTCTTAAATATTTATAAAACAGCATTGTTATTCTCTTCCTCCTGTCCCCCCGGGTTGCTCAGTCATAAGATAAATAACATTGCTTTACCGTTCTCTAATTGATTCAAATTTGGGAAAAACTTCTTGAAGGGGACCCCCAAGAATCATTCCTTCTTTTCCCTCCTTCCTTTCCATTTCCATGGAATTGGTGGACGTTCTCAGTGCAATCTAGTCCACCTTTTGTTTGACTCAAGGACACTGCAGACATTCTGCTGCTCCTCCAGCGAGAGAACGAAAGCCTCCATGGAATCCTGGCCGTTTAAATCCTGCAGTTGTGCTGTAGCAACAACGGCAGTAGAATTAGTCTGAAGGGCTTTGAAGGAAATTTTACTTGCTGTGACTAGAAATGAGTTGCACAAAATTATTTTAGGGAAAACATTCTGAAATGTTATATTTTTAAGTTCTTTAGTGATTGTTTGAATTTCTAGCTTCACTGATCCAGCAAAGAGTGTCCATGTCCTTGGCTAGTTGTTTGACTGTGTCTGAATCTAATGAGCTAAATCCTTTTCAGGGATCACGAATTGTAGCTGAGCGGAAAGAAAAACTTGAAAGGAAAATTAGAACAAATTCATAAGGAAGAAATCCTTGAACATTTTACCACTTAGACCACAAGTCTGCAAACACAAGTGAATGCATTTGTGGGCGTCAGGAAAAGCCCTAGTAGAAACCACAGTGTTGGTCTAGACAGTAATAATCTAATAGTCTACAGAAGCAAACAGAGCATGCTGGAAAACAAGTTTAATACTTTCTAGTCAGACATCAGAATACTGTTCCAGTTCTTAAAAGTTGTTTCACCCTGGATCTATAATGTGGAGTTATCCACCTTACAGAGTAATTCATTCATTCAAAAACATGTTTATTGTGCCAAGTACTGTGCTGGGCACTGGGTATGCAGTGAGGGACAAAAGAGACATGATTTGTGCCTTTTTGGAGCTTATAGTCTGGTAAGGGAGACCAAAAAAAAAGTGTGTGTGCATATATATGTGTGTGTGTGTGTGTGTGTGTGTATACATACTCATAATTATATGAACGAAAATAACCAGTGTGGTAGAAGTGTATAAAAGGGGGCCCTAATTTAATTGGAGAGCCAAGAGACCTTTCTGACAATGACATTTAATCTGTTATCTGAAGGATGAGTGAGTTACCTAGGTAAAGACTAGGTAGAAAAAGATTTTAAGTAGAGAGAACAAGTACGATGGCCTGAGGCAGGAAATAACTTGGTGGGTTTCAAGAATCGAAAGGGAGCTAGTGTGCAGGAGTGAGGTGGAGAGTGGTATAAGATGAAGTAGTGAGGGAGGCAGGGCCAGATCATGAAGACCTTGTGGGTGACATTAAACAATTTGGGTTATATCTCAAGTATATTGGGAAGCCTTTGAAGGATTTTGAGCGCCGGGATAAGGAGATCCACTTGAAAGATCCCTCTGGCTGCTGTCTGATGAAAGCATGGAGTAGAGGAAAATGGGAATCAGTCAACGGCTGGGCCAGGTGAGAGATGATGGTCACTTACACTGAGCCGGTAACAAAGGTGATTCAAAAAACTGGATGAATTTGTTTTTGACTTTGGAGGCAGACTCTATAGGACTTGGCTGTGGAGCAGGAACAAGAGGGAATGTCAAGAATGACCCACAGGTTTCTTGAATGCTCACCTGAGATTCTGGCACCCAATTCTGACCTGTGGTTTTCTTACCCACACCGCCAAGCAATTCTCCACCATCACCTGGTGTCCTGGAATTCAACTCAATTCTGACACTATCTACCTGGAGAAATATAGATTCCAAAAGTCACCTCATTAACATAACAAAAGGCGCTTTTATGGCTCTGATCACTTAGGAAATTCCAAGGGTTTTAGGAGCTCTGCTTTAGGGATGAATCGGGACAAAGACTAAATATATATTCCTTATTATAAATCGTAATATCACACCAGCTTGCTGATAGTGGTCACTATGGAGCTACTTATAGCTTCTAGCCAGTGTGAGTCAGGGAATAGTCAATTCATTCTAGATTCTTTTTTGGTTTGTCACAGATTGTTCTTGTCTCACATGGGCTAGTCTGTACCATCATATACACTTTTGAATTTAGGGTGCTTAACCAATGAAGGAATTATTAGAACATAAACATCTTTGTTTTTTTTCTTCACTGCCCAAGACTTTCTCATATAAACATTTGCCTTTGTTGAAATAGTGTGCAGAGAGATCTCCTCTTTGAAAGTGCTGGGCTGTTTGGGCAACTCTCTGATTTTTGGAGACTTCACTGATGGTACATAAGACCGCATCTGTGTGAGTTCTTCCTTGTACGTCTACTGGAACGTTTGTTTAAGATATCACTCCAGTGATCTGGAAGTTAATGCGTTTTCAAGATCTTATTCACCATCAGCATTTTGTCATCCACTTCTTAATTTAAATTCTTCTTAGAGCTCTCATAAAATAAGTAGGGGAAGGTATGATTAACCCTATTTTTAGATGCAAATGAAGTAAATAGAGGTCACATGCCCTGCAGGTAGATTCAGCACAAGGATCCAGTTCTCTTGATGGCCAATTATGGATTCGAACTCATCCAGCTGTCCGTTCCCTGGATTTGCAATTATTAAGTTACATAATGTGGTGGGGAAATGTTCTACTTATGCTAACAATTAAATACTTGATGCCCCCAACAGAATATCTTTTCCTTTCAAGTATAGTCCTTTCTACATTAATCAGTGATTGGGGTTTCATGCCTGAAGCTACTTTAAAAATTGAATTGCTACCAACCTGAGAGACAAAAAGAAATGGATTCAGGGTGCGGTGGGTTGTAGGAATGAACAGAGAATTGATTCAAAGGGGAGATACACATGACAATGTTATACTGATACTTGGTGTGGTGTGGGAGGGTTCCAGATAGGAGTAGTACTAGTATTTGAAAGGCAGTATGGCAATGGAATGCACAGAAATATCTCCAAATGGATACATCTCTAGAAATGCCAATGGCATTGCCAATGATATACCTTTTTTCCTCTAGTTGCTTTTAAGAATTTTTCTTCATCTTTACTGTTCTTAGAGTTTGATTATGGATTGCTTTTATTTTACCTAGAGTATTTGGTGTGCTACTTCAATCATGTCTTTCTTCAATTCTGGAAAATTTTCAACTGTTATCTTTTCAAATATTGCCTCTAACCTATTCTTTCTATTTTCTTCTTCTAGAACACCTGTTAACAGAGTTGACCCTTAACCTCTCTTATATTTTCCATATCTTCATTTTTATGTCTTCATTATATGTGATGACAGTTTACTAATTTCCTCTCCAGCTGTTTCTATTCTGCAGTTTAAATTTGTTCATTGAACTTATAATTACGATGACTATCTTTTTTTCAATCTCCAGGTGTTCACTGTTTTGTTAAACAAAAACACTGTTTTGTTTTTGTGATCTCTATTCTTTTTTCCTAAAGTCAAATTATTTTATTTATTATGCTTTTTAATCTTTCTTGCATTGCTGTAAATATTTTGAACATTATTATTTTAGTTCCTTTTAGATTGTTCCATTATTTCTAATTCTCTTTCTTTGTTGCGTTTGATGATTCTCCCTCATCATGCATTCTTTTGTCATTTGTAATTTAGGAATGTGAACTCATCTTCACTGGGGCTGTGTTTTCTATGAGACTTTCATGAGCTCAGCCCCTGTACAGCAGTTTGATATTTGCTTTTGATGTTTGCTTTTTCCAAAGCCAGGACTTCAGAATGTTCACGGATCTGGGACCAGTATTTGTGTTAAATTCTCAGCTTGTAATTCCCACATCACACAGATAGTGTAAATTCATAAACCATACCCACCATGGGTTTGGTATGGGTTTGGGGGTTTGATTCTTCCCAGAAACTTTTTCTCCATTCAGAACCCTAGGGGATGGCAAGCTTCCTTGTTCCTTCTCTGTTCCACTGGATAGAATTTTTCCAGCTCCCTTTCAGAGCTTTGGTGGTTCTTCTAGTGTCTTGTCTTTATGTCAGTGTCTCACTTCCAGCTCCTTTCATCTAGATCAGGACACGTCTTCAGTCTCTCGGGGGCATTAAAACCTCTGTTTTGAGCCTCAGATGTGGCACTTTCCCAGACTGCCAAGGATCCTTTCTTTCTCTTGATTTAGGCTATGTGTTTTTTGTTGTTGTTGTTATATTTTAGCCAACTGCATATATTTATCTAAGCTTGTCAAGTCTATGTATATATAGTGGGAGGGTTGATATCAGCTCAGTTATAGGAACAGGAAGTCTTGCTTTATTTATTATATCAAATTAATTCTGGTCTGAGCCCTCACTTGCTAGGGTTGTAAGATACCCAATATCAGTCTTTAAATTAGGAGTTCCCTTCCCTTCTCTGTAGTTGCACAAGAGTTGTCAGAGGCTTGCACAGTTTGGAACTTGGGAAAAGACCTCTGGTATTCAGTCAATTGTCATCCTCACTGAGATATGCATTGCCTGAGTTCACTGAGTCTATTTGAATAAATCCACATCCTTTATGCCAGGTTTGGTCACAAGTATCTTCCATCAATCTTTAGGAAGCTAATTCAATCTTTTCTATTCTAAGGACCCACCTCTTGGTGAGAATGCTAGGGACATTTGAAAATGTGTAGGTGTATTTTTTTGGGTTATCTTAATGTCTACAGTATGCTATTGTTCTTCAGTGCCTAGAAACCAGGGATACCCAATGAAGCTTGCCCAAAAAGCCCGTCAGACTTCTCTCTGAGAAGCATTATCTAGTCCCTCCATCTCTGGGGTGGTCCAACTTAATCCCCTTTGAAGGACTGTACTTAAAAATTTTTGCTTCTTTTCTAGATGTCTTGGCTCAGGCTGCCACAATGAAATACTGTAGACTGGGTGGCTTAAACAACAGGAATTTATTTCTCACAGTTCTGAGACTGGGAGGTCCAAGACATTTTGAATTGATATCTCTGGCAGGAATTTCTGATATATTCTGGTCTTATTGCAATTTTGTCTCAGGGAAATTTTCTGGGATAGCTTTACATAGATGGGCTATGCATTTTATGTTCCCCTTTTTCCTCATTTCTGAGAGTAAGAATGCTATGTTTATTTGTTCAGCCAACATTATGAGTGCCATAATGTACAAAACATTATGAGGGCTACAAAGATACACGAAACATTGTTCCTGAATATATTTAATCTTTGGGCTTTATGTAGACTATATACTATACTAAAAATTAAACTAGTTTTTATAATTTTGGAAGTACAACATGCATCTGGTAAAAATTCCAACTCTACACAACATGGGATAAAACAAACAGTAAGTGTCTGTTGTCTCCAAACACCCATGCCTGATTGCTGTTCCACTTAGAGCGTAACATCTGTTAGCAATGTCTTATGTATTCTTCCAGAATGTCTTGGTGTACAAATAAACACATAGGTAAGATTCTCTACCAAATGCCATACACATCTGTATAATGGTAAGGACTTCTCAATTTGAAGGATAGCATAAATTTCATTCAAACACAGATGAATGATTCACTAAGCCAGGTTGGGGAGAAGGGCTGGTCTGAGGTCTCTGTAATGTATCTGGACTCCAAGAATTTCAATGATGAAACGTATTGAAAATTTGTAAAGAGGTAAAAACAATAAAAAATCAGGATGTAAAGTTCTATTTCCCTTCTTGTATAGACCTCCAGAAAGAACGAGCCCAGCTGAAATCTTGATTTTAGCCCAGTGAGATTGATTTTGGGTTTCTGACCTCTAGAATGGTAAGATAACAAATATGTCCTGTTTTAAAACACTAGGCTTGTAGTAATTATTACAGCAACAATAGGAAGCTAATAGTTTCCTATGAAAACAACTATTTCTATTATTATTATTGCTCTAAGAATAAAATTAGTTGCCATTAATTTAACACTTATTCTATGGTAGTAACTATTTCAAGTACTTTGCAAACAATAATTTAATCTTTACAACAACTCTGTGAAGGTAAGTATTATTATTCCCTCTTTTTTTTGTGTGTGTGTGAGGAAGATCAGCCCTGAGCCAACATCCATGCTAATCCTCCTCTTTTTTGTTTTTTGCTGAGGAAGACCAGCTCTGAGCTAACATCTATTGCCAATCCTCCTCCTTTTTTTCCCCAAAGCCCCAGTAGATAG